CACAACTAGCATAACCGCGAGAGCTTGCATCGCAAAAGGCGACCAATTCACATTCGGTCTGTTCTGGTAGCAGCATATGTCTATCTTGATTGCCGTTAGTCGCGGGAGATCATCAACGTAATTAAGCCAGCGCTTAGTTACGTCAGTTGGCAGCTGCTCATCCCATCCTATGCCCAGCTTCCATAAATCTTGCATTATCTCTTTCGCGATGAAAATGCACGGTGAAATAAAACCCACGGGGTCGTAAATAGAAGCTAATAATTTTAAAACAGAACGTTTAGTTGTTACTTTATCAGTCTTATCTACTGTGAAATAAAAACAGTCAGTCAAAGGGAACCATTTCAGACCTAGCACTTTGACTGAATATTTGTTACCATCTTTCATAAATGTAACAGGACACTCTCGGTTTTCTAACGGAACGCGTTGTAAAACTTTTGCACTATTACTCGCCCACCTTTTGAGTATAAAGCCACCGGAATTAAACATCTCTAAAAGTTCATCTTGTAACCGAGATATCTGTGACAATGAACTACAAGAATATAGAATGTCATCCATGTACACGCCCTCGCGCACAACCTTTGCAGCGAGTGGGAAACGTTCTTCCTCGTCATAGGCTAACTGTAAGAGGGTGCGGATAGCTAAGAACGGTGAGCAACTTAAGCCGTAAGTGACAGTTTTTAATTCATAAACGTCAATGGCATCGTTAGGCGAATGACGATACAAAATATGTTGATAACATCTATCTGACTGATTCAGTTTAATTGCCCGATACATTTTGCATACGTCACAAATCAAACAATATTCAAACAACCTAAAATTCAATATTATAGCCCCAATATCTCGATACAGATTAGGCCCGGTCAATAGAATATCATTAAGCGAAACGTTCGTGGACGTTTTAGCCGAGGCATCGAATACCACACGCAAAGGAGTAGTGGAACTACTGGGCTTAAGTATACTGTGATGAGGTATCACATATTTGCTTGGGGTGTCCCCCGAATAAAGCTCCATGTGCCCTAGATTTTCATATTCGCACATGAACTCTGAATAGGCTTGTCGTAATACAGGTGAACGATTCAACTTGCGCTCGGTGAACAAGAGTCGCCGCTCGGCTGCCGCTCGTGACGCGCCCAACGGAGGCGGGTCTGGTATGAATGGTAACGGCACTGAATAGGTACCATCCTCAGTACGACTATAACGAGCCACGAAAATGTCTTCCGCTAATTGTTCCAAAGGATTAATCGAGGGTTTGCTTGGCAATTCTTCGATTTCCCAAAATTTACGCAACGTTTGATCTAAAGACTCTTGTTCATCAAATGAGACTGATAAATTATAATTTTTTAAATTGTCCTTATCATTGCTATAAAGTTTACCACTTACAACAAACCCGAAAGCGGTATCGATCACGCTTGGTATATCCGATGAAATAATATAAGGTTTATCCTTAATAAGTTCCGAAACTATATCATTGCCCAATAGTATATCGATACGCGAACGCTTATAAAATAATGGATCAGCTAAATTAAAATTCTTATATTTATTAATAACGTCCGAGTGGAATCGAACGTTAGGCATATCAGCAGATACCTTAGTCACTACGACCATGTTCAGTGTAAAACTAGGTAGGTCAGTGTGTAGGGACCTTAATGTGCATGTAATCATGCCGTGATTTTTTACAGCCTCTCCACCGAGACCATAAATATTAAACGAACACTTCTTTCGAGGTAAGCCCAAACGTTGAGCACACTCAGTTGTAATAAATGAGCTCTGAGCTCCAGAGTCAATAACTGCACGGCAGTATTGAAGCTGGCCGCTACTATCAATTACTAACACGCGCGCCGTTCCCAATACAACACCGTAACCCGAGTGAGTGTTATTGGAATGAAGCGTATCTATCGTATAACGCTCTGAGTCACTCATAGCCTGAGACGAGACGAGTGCTTGTTGCACTTGCGAGTCAGAGCACAATGGACGGGTGGATGTTGGCACGAGCGTGTCGCTCACTGGCTCCCTATGCAATAGATAATGATGTAGTGACGCACATACACCACAAGACATCTCACTTTTACAAGTTGAGGTATCATGATTTCCTTTTAGGCAATTATGACACAATTTTAAGGTATTGACACGGTCAATCCTTTTATCTACGGTCAATTTACGAAATTGATCGCACCTATAAATCATGTGATTTTGATTGCAATGCGCGCAAATTATTTTTTTATTTTTATTATAATTTGACACATTAGTATTTAAAACTGTCTTTGAATAACTTTTGTAGTGGTTATTATTGTTGCCTTTGTAATTGTTACATATAGACTTATTTCTTGATTGTAACGACATCGTACTATTCGATGAATGTTCGAGTACTTTAACTTGTTTATTTACAAAACTAATTAATTCCGAAAAAGATGGAAGTGAATTTTGATCCCTATTTTCTTCAAAAAGCCTCCTAGTATGCGCATCCAACCCACGTAAGGCTAAATGACAAAATAAATAGTCATGTAAATTTTTAATTTTTAATGCCTCGATGGCTTTAAAAGAGTGATCGAATGTTTCGATAAATAAAGTAAGATTTGCGGTAGTATCTTTATTTAACGGCGTAAAGTTTATCATTTTATCGATGTACCTACCCACGAGTATTCGATCATCTTGATATTTATTACATAAACTTTGCCATACGACAGTATAATTAGCGGCTGTTATGGGCAATTTTTTAACAATGTTTAATGCCGAACCTTTAACACATGAAAGCAAATAGTGAAACTTATCTATTTCGTCGAAATCTCGATTGTGGACAAGTGATATAAATGTATCGTAGAATGTGGTCCACTTCTCAATATCACCATCGAATTCAAATAAACGTAATTTAGGTAATGACGGCCTTACATCACTCCTATCTTTCCTACTGAGGGATGCCTGCTCGTCCGGTTTTAATCTTAAATATTGCAACCTACATGCCTTATAAAGTTCATCAAATGTATCTAATTCTCGCGTTGACAATCTTGTCTCCGGTTTTAATGATATATCTATTTCAATAATATTTAACACTGTTTCTTCAAACTTTGAGCGGACACTTTCTAATTCGGAATAATCGGCTAAGAAATTCTGAATTTGTGTGGGATCATTTATTTGGGATCTCGCGATATCGAAAACCTTTTGTAATTTAGCAAATAGGTATTCCTTTTTAAAAATAAGTGTTTGCCTTTTTATTTGTAATTTATCCGACATTATGAACAAATTACAAAATTAATACTTTATAAACGCACCGCGAGCAATGGACATCCAGGTAAAAAGAGGCAAATTAAATAAGGGATATTAAATTAATTAAATGCGTAGTTTTACTCAAATATATGACGTCCACGGGACGCGAATTAAGGGTAGAAAATTATTATTCGAAGATCACTAATTCGAATATATGCGGCTCGAAGGCCAGAAATGTGGCGGATTGGGATTATTTTACTAGATATAGTGGACTGTATTGAGAATCTAAATCCCCTGAAACGTTCAGTTACCGCAGTCACAAAATCACACCAAAAACAGCAACAAACTACTCACGGTCTTACTAGCCAGCCTCCCAAGATCAGCAAACGTTGACAGCTCCTGGTAGCTTCTTCTACACGGTAGAATACACTAGCAATTAGATTGTACACGGTACACTCTGGAGTAGTCCCTTTTTTTAAGTTTTTGGAGAGATGTTCACATCACGAACACAAAGAGAATGTGTATGGCTTGTCTCGCCTCCTACCCTCCTCTTCTCTTTTTTTTAACTCCACAGATTATTACAACGCATATTACGTCGCAATGTTGCCACTAGGTGTGACCGGCGCTCCGATCGTAGCAGATCATTGTGCCTCGGTATAAATTTTGTGAGTTGCGGTTTATTACTGAACACCCTGATACCTAGTTTTTCCATCTTAGCTAACAGTATCGGCACAGAGACAGTATCGAACGCCTTTGCGAGGTCCAAGAATATTCCAATACATTTATTATTACTGTCAACATGTTTTACAATGAACTCTGTTAGAGATAAAACTGCATCTTCAGTAGATTTTCCATTTATAAAACCAAATTGATTTTCAGAAAGTAAGTTATATTTAGAAAAATATGATTTTAAACGATTATTTAATAGACGTTCTAATACTTTAGATAGGGCTGGTAGAATGGAAATGGGACGATAGTTACTGATACTGTCTCTGTCTCCGCCTTTATGTATAGGACTTATCAAAGCAACTTTGAACTGATCAGGAAACATACCTGATTCAAGACTAAGGTTACAAATGTGCATAATAGAGGGAATTATCAGGTGCTTAGTAGATTTAAGCACCTGATTGGAAATTCCATCGTAGCCTGGTGCCGAATTATGTTTAAGATTACTCAGTAAACACTCGACTTCAAGTGGATCGGTGGGTCTTAAGCCCAAAGATTGAGACTGATTTATTTAATTCGAATCCGCTGTTGTTGACTCATTCCTTACGTAATTTATTGAAATTTCATCTGCCAGTTTCTTTCCAATATTGGCAAAATAATTATTAATATAGTTAATTGATTCTACTGGACTGGCTTTTAGGCTAAGAAGATTAGTATTTAAAGATGTAACATTACTATTTAATTTAGCTATATTTTTAACGATTTTCCACTTTATTTTATTATCATTTCCAGCTTTATATAATTCATTGTTATCAAAATCTGCCCTAACTTTTTTTTATAATTCGTTACAAAAATTTCTATAGTGTTTACTAGCAAACCCGGCGAACTCCGTTTCGCCACCAGGTGGCTTCGTTTTATGTAACTATTCGTTTGGTGATTAAAAGATGAAGAAAAATTTTATTTTTGTTTTATATTTGAAAAGGAAACATTTTATTTCATTTCACAACAGTAATGAATTCATTTCGATTACAAAAATGAAGTGTTATTTAGTTGAACTTCTCTAAGTAAATGAAAGTGAATCCAAAGTAATACTGAATCGAAGCGTTATTATACGTGTCCGAAAATTATCCGTTTCATTGAAGTGCTCTTTGGTAAACCACATTTTTTGTTTTTTGGTCTGACGTTAACACAAACAAAGCGGATGGTTTCCCAACTCGTGAACACGCAACGTATAACTGCCCATGTGAAAAACAATGGTTTTCTAAATTGATCCCGCAAACACTAAGCGATTGGCCTTGTGACTTGTTAATTGTCATTGCGAACGCAAGGCGAACTGGAAATTGCAATCGCTTGAATTCAAACGGAAGATCAGTCGGAATCATTGGTATTCGAGGAATACATACATTTTCACCTGCGTACTTTCCGTTAATAATGGTTGCCTCAATCAAATTCGGCATAAGTCTTTTCACCGAAAGTCGAGTACCGTTGCAAAGTCGCGGTGGATTCAAATTACGCAATATCATAATAACTGTACCAACTTTGAGTTGCAAGTTATGTGGTGGAAATCCTGGTAACTCCAGAGAGTTCAAAAACTCCGTTGGATAATTTACTACATCATCGGGATTTGTTATGGAATCAACGGATTTGTATGTCAACAAATTGCCAGCAATTTTTGATTGAATGGTGAAATTCAGTGCGTGTACATCATTATTCTTTGCGGCAAGAATTGCTCGTTGACTTAACCAAGCATAATTCTGATAATTATCACTAATGTTTGGGAAAAAATTTTCAATAAGAGCTAATTGAGAGTCTACAAATCGGCAAAAGTCGTTGGTAAGAGTAATTAATCCAGATGTTGCATCAACTGGGACTTTTCCATTTCCAACAGCTAACAATTGTTTCGAAAATTGTGCAGCACTTTGATCATTTTGAAGTTGAACTCTCATATTAGTGGTTAGCGATAATGTTTTTACGTTATTCCATAAATGTGATGCCTTCAGGCAAGCATTCAATTCATCTGCAGGCGTTCCACGGGGAATTACTGGCAACGTCTGCCTGAAATCGCCTGCCAACAATATCATCAAACCGCCAAAGATGTTGTTATTTCGCCGAAGATCCTTCAGTGTGAAGTTAAGTGCTTCAAGTGATTTCTTATGTGCCATTGTGCACTCATCCCAAACAATGAGCTTGCATTGCATCAACAATTTTCCCATTGCACTGGATCGGGAAATATTGCATGTTGGAGTATCAATTGTGTTTAAATTGAGTGGCAACTTAAGCGCAGAATGTGCAGTACGACCGCCATCTAGAAGAGTCGCCGCAATTCCAGATGATGCTAAGGCCAAAGCTATGTCACATCTTGATCGAATAGTGGCCAAAATCAATGAAATGACAAATGTTTTCCCTGTTCCTCCAGGTGCGTCCAGGAAGAATAGACCACCAGTATTATTGTCCACCGCTTGCATTAATGTTTCGTATCCTTTTTTTTGCTTGTCATTCAGCAACGGCACATTATTTCGAACGAATTCCTGCAATGTATCAACATTGTATTGCAGCTCTCTATTTAATTATTGGTTGAATGCATCGTGCATCGATCGATTTGGCGCAATCATTCCTACTTCAATCAGTAGCTTGTTTGCAATAGTCAAGCATTGATCCTCAATCAGAATCAATCCTTCATTGTAGATTTCATCGGTTATTTGGATGTCAGGATTATTCGTTTGAATGCGCAAGCGATGCAAGATATCTTCACATATGTCGTCTTTGTATTTGTTCCATAACTGAATTGGTTGTGAAGGAAAACATGTGGTGATGATAATTGCGAACAGAGTTCGTATTTGGTACGCATTTGATGAAACAACTGAATCCGCAAGTGTTAAATCCCAATGAGAATCGTTCTCCAGCAAACCCAATAGTTGACATGCTTCTCGATATGTTTGGCATTGGTGGCCATTCACAATTTTCAAATGCGCAAATGATTTTGGTCCACGTACATTTACCAACAGCAGTCGCAAATAAAAACATTCATCATTTCTAGGATGAACAGTATACATGCGACCTAGTGCATCAGTGGAAAACACCTGTGGCCAATCTGGAACTGGGGTTCCTTGTTTGCGACGTTGGAATTTCTTTGTTGATTGATTCTAAGTGTAATACTTGGGCATTTCAACGTACATCAGCGTCGCTGCGAATGGATCTGCTTCACACATTGCAAAGAAGCTAGTCAATGTTGTCGATGGTGGTCTCTCAGCTAGTTGTGCCGCATTAGCCTCAGTGAAGTAAACTCTTTGGCCATTTTCCAAATGCACTGCTAAATGTACAACTGTGGGATATCTTTCATGAATTTGAAATGACAATAATCGCCACAGTGCTTCATTAGTACTGACGTATCTGCCCATTTGGAAGTTGCTGATTTCGTCATTCGCATTTTCCGACGCAATACCAAACACAGCCATGTCGCTGCCTTTTGTGACGTACTTGCACAAATATTTGATTGATTTGGCCGAATGACAACTCTCAACGTTTGCATGTGTTTCGAAAATTCGTGATAGCAGCAGGCAATATGGTACAATGAATTCATTTCCGATCTCAATCTCTTGATTTTGAACTTTAACTTTGATAGTTCGACCATTATCTTCTTTTGAACGCCGACGATAAACTGGATATCCATCGTTCCCTGTGACTGTTTCAGTAACTAACGGTCGCGGATATCGTTTTGTGCACTTTCCATCAGCCATGCAAGGCGATAATGGATTTAAGGCACCGCACGGTCCGTGCACCATGTGTGTCGTCACAATGTCGTGTAGATGGGGATCAGTGACTGGATCAGGAATTTCAGCTGATATGATGTAATCCACTTCATTTGAATGTAATTTGTTCAGCAGCCAAATTAGGATATGAGCATGCGGTAGTCCACGCTTCTGCCATTCCACCGAGTACATATAACAACGTGTATCACCAAAAACTCGATACTTAGTAAGCACATCCATCATAACCTTGAGTTTTTGCTGAAATACTCTGGCGATTATGTCATGGCGATCTTGCGGTTTTTGGCCCGGTTCCAACTCACGTTCAATTTCCGTCCACTTCGGATTGCATGTGAACGTAATAAATAAATCCGGAGTTCCATAATTTCGCACGTACGTCATAGCGTCTTGAGCGTATTCGTGCATGTGGCGTGGGCTTCCGATATAAGATGATGGGAGAATCGTCAGACGTCCAATATTTTGAACATCACCATCTGAATGAATAGCATCACGCAAGTGTATATAGTCCTCAGATCGTAGCTTTGCCTGATTGAATCGGATGAACGCTAAACGTTCGGTCTCGACTTTGACATACATGTCGACAGCGAATTGCTGGAATAGCCGACGGCACTTCAGAATGACATTCTTCTCATGTGTACGAATCATCATACGATACGCATAGTAATTCATTGCGCTTAGATTTTTATTCGTTGATATGCCTGAAAATGCAAAATTAAATGAATTGTTAATGGAAACCAATAATAGCAATAATTAGTCTGTGAATATTGTACCTGTAATTGGATCGACCATCTTCAACGTAATTTCGTATCCGTCTTGCCCTTGCCAATAAATGATTGGATATTGTAACGCATCGTACAAACGATGTGTCTCGTTTACACGATGCATGATATTGCTTCTTCGCTGAACGACAATGTCTCGCGACTTAGTTGGATCGCCAACAATAATTGCAGCAACATCATTAACGGTGGGTGCATTGAATCTTCGCACATGTTCACCTGTTGGGGTACAATCAGCTCTTATGACAAATTTGTACGTATCCGATGGCATTCGTTCCAATGCTGTTTTGAACATATTAACCACAGCATTATTAGCGTGAAAAAATGCTTGCAACTGTTCAATAATTCGTCTCTTTAACTGTTGTGTTCCCTGTATATTGCACCGCACATTCAGCTGATCCACCATCGACGAAATGAAATATATTTGCAGAAATTGATGCGGTTCATCTGGTGTTGGCACCATTGAACCATGCAAATGATATATTTGTCCTTGTATCTGTAATTGCAAACAATCATTTGTTGAAGAATATGGTGTAACTTCTGATCGTGTGATGATGTAGTGTGTGGTGTATATGTAGTTGTTATGTGTTGCAATTCATTATGTTGGTGTGAGTGATTGGTTATGTGTGTTGTATCTTTTACCTTGCAAGTCGGCATGAAGCCGCCTTCTCGAATGATATTAGCTCCAAAGGAAGTCATGCGAAAGCAGTTATTGTATTCAAGGATGTGTTGAAGAAAATGGCTGGAATCGGGATCACTTCCATCGAACAATGGTTGCAGTGGCTGTGGTGGTGTAAGTAATGGATCCAGTTTGACTTTTCCACTTGCGCAGCACAATCCACCCGTTTCTCTTTTGAACTTTAACGCATTGCAATATCGGCATATAGTCGTCATTGGTCCAATATCTAAATTTTCATCATCACTGTAGTTCGCAGTGGGATCATATTGGAATGCCAAGCGATTGTATGATGCCAATGATCTTCGTGTGCTCACGCGTTGTCTCAATCGGGCATTTTCTCTTATTATATTTTGTCTTTCTTCGCTTAAGTTCTGTGAATACGCTTGTTGCTGGCTTGCATGTCTTGTGCGGCGGCCGATGTTCACACGTCGTCCTCTAGGCATCTTGGACTATGGACAGAGTGGTGAATTTAACCTCAAATGCACGATCCACATAATTTACACAGTTCAACTTACCACATTAAAGACAAATGCCTGCTGTTGAAATTGAATAAAAATTTGCACAATACACGTGATTGATTTGATGGTAAATGTTAGGAAACGAATAACTAATTTTTTTTACTTTTTTTTCACAATTTCACAGTGAACACAATACCGGTTTGTCACATGAAATACCCTTCAAAATCCGAAAAATCCATTTGGATTTCTGACTTGTCAGAAATATGATCCCCTCCAAAGAGTATATAATAAAGTAATTTAATTAATGGCCCCCTTAGAACAATAAATAAAGAGTATTCAGAACTTAGAGTACAAATAAGGAAGGTATAGAGCACGTGTATCGCTCAATGCCCATTATGCCAAGCGTAAAATTGACGCCTATGCGTTGTTATACTTAAGTTATTAATTTGATTATGTAAGTATTTGTAAATATTACGTAAGCGATAATTATAAGGTATGTTTTAGCTCAATAAAACATGTCTACGAATTTATGAAACGATGTTTATTAATCAAACACAAAAATCTAATTAATTTACTCTCCCGCTAAAAACCATATTATACAGGGTTAGTGGGAATTCGACAATTTCCTAGCATAGCATGATAAGAGAGTCAAAATGCTACAAATTAGGCTAGGTATGAGAACCGTCAATTTACTCTAAATCTCTAGGTCAGAATTAAATAAAATACACACAATAATTTGTAGGAAAATATTCCATTAACAATTGCTGTATTTGTTTAATGCTTACTAAATTAGTCAGTACAAAGATAAATATTTTTATTTATATTTATTATTGTACTCGTATCGGTATTTTTGCATAATATGTCCCGTTCGTACCTACTATCATATTTCGCTGTCGTGGACGTTGGACATCAATACAATTTTCTAGAAATAAAATTAGTTATTCATCTACCTTGTACGGTACACTGTGGAGGTGGGCAAAATGTATCATTTTTGGGATTGGAACATTTGCATCTTGATCACTGAAATATTCCGAAACACTGATATGTTTCATTTGGCTCATTTGTATCATCGACTCTAAAGATATAAAAGAAAGAATGTTCCGAATAAATATTAATATAAAATAATAATAATAATTATTATTTTATATTAATATTTATATTTGGATAAGAACTTAGTAATGACTCTAAGTTATATTTACCTTCATTTAAAAAAAAATTGTCTTTGGCCTGACCTACTATACTCTTTGGCTTGACCATAGGTCTGACTAATCTGTTTATGAAACTGTCAAAATTAATGTTATTAAAAAAAATAAAGTTGAAATTAAGTTAATATACGCGATAAAATCCGTAAAACGCACCGGCGCCATCTACTTAAAATATTGGTTTGTAGTACATGCTATGTATCAGAGATAGCGCTGTATGTGAAAAAAGATTTTCCCGCTTTTCTGTTGAAATTTTCCTGAATTTTCTTTGCTATAAACCTCACGGAGCCCAAGACCTTTCCAACGAATGCAAAACCGTGGAAATCGGTTCGTGCGTTCTGGAGTTATAGCGTCAGGAAGGAAAACCCGACTTATTTTTATATAGTAGATAAGTAATCGTAAGTTTTATGTTATCAGGATGACTTATGACATCACGATGTAGTTTGTCTCTATGTCTAATGCACCTTAGTAGCCCTTGAGTAAGCCAGGGAACTTTTATTCTCTTACGAGCGGGAACGGTCTTCATTGTGGTATGTACGTCTATAGCTCTTTGTAGCTCCTTTACTAGCATATTTGTAGCAAT